CTTAGGGGTTTAGGGTTTAGAGTTGCAGCCGGGACTCACATCCACATCTTTTCGGGTGCGTTAAAGAACTGAGCTATGCGGCTTTGGATACAAGACCCATGGTCTTTCCAAGAGTCGGTAGAAATACTTTCGAACCCCACTGCCAGCGACTCAAACTTCCAGCAAGCCTTATGGAACACCTATTCTGGAAACTGTTGATAGAACCCTTATCGACATCAACACCTGTACTCACCCGTTAAGCACCCGTTCCTTATGACAACTCTGATAGGCTCTTCCCTGCTACAACCCTAGACCCTAAACCCTANNCTAAACCCTAAACCCTACACCCCTGAGCCTTCATGGAGACACCAGAAGGCTGCGGGCACACCTCAAGGTCTCGAACCCCGAAGCCGAAATTCTTGAAGCATGAAAGGCCGAAACCCAACCACCTGAACCCGGAAAGGCCCAAAACCCTTCAGCCTAAACCGCGCAAAAACAGCCCCCTGATGTAGTTTTTATCCGACGACACTGGACACTACTAAACCTTAAACCCTAAACCCTTAACCCTAAACCCCTAAACTCAAGACAACCACAGAGGCCCTCAACCCTGGACCTTGAGCCTCGGAACCCTTCAACCTCGCCCCCCCCTTCCTTTGGGTTAAGGGTTTAGGGTTTAGGGTTTACAAAGGACATCCCGAGGATTAGCTTTCAAGGAACCTTCTAGGGAATCCTCAAATCAACCCTTCAAGGAGCCCTATGCTACCCTTATGAAGGAACCCTATACTACCCTTAAGGGAGCCCTTAGCATTCGTCACTGGTTTTGCCCACCTGGCGCAGGAATGGAGGACCCCGGTGACGATGAAGCCCAGCCACGTCAGCCTTGGGACCCCCCAAACCAAAAAAAAAACCCAAAACCCCTAATCCCTGATCCCTAAACCCCTAAACCCCTGATTTGTTTAAGATCTGAAAGTCGGGTCCGGGGTTTTAGCGAGTTTGGGGCTTAGGGTTTAGGATTTTAGGGTTTTTGGGTTTCAGGGTTTAGGGATTGGGGTTTAGGGATTGGGGTTCTTTTATCAGAACTTGCTGTCATAAGGATTATAAGGTTCTAAAAGAGCTAAACAGGGCTTTAGATGTTGAGCGGCATTCTTGTTAAGAATCTTACGCGAAGCCGTGAAAGCAACTATGAAATCCGAAGCCCAAGGCTAGGAGATAGACCCTAAACCCTAAACCCCAAACCCTAAACCCTAAACCCTAGACCCTAAACCCTAAACCCTAAACCCTAGACCAGCTCAAGGCACTGGTGGTTAGAGAATCTTGGTGATTTGCTGTTTCTGGCACAGAGTTGCCAGAGATGCCACCGCAAGTTGCCAAAACTCCGGGAGGGCGGGTGGGCCCAGCGCTGGTAAACTGGCTTTTCAGCCTCCAAGGCTCCGGGCACCATGCCTTCTGTCGAAGCACAGCTGCGCAGTCGCTCGGCCTTCCTCCCTGATTTATGACGACTGGAAAGTCAGACGTCGGCACGTTGCAACAACAATATCCCTTCATTGTTGGTTAGCAGCACTCTCGCTCCCTTGCCTCAGCTCGCAGTGCGGACGTTTTCACAGCTCAAGGCACTGGTGGTTAGAGAATCTTGGTGATTTGCTGTTTCTGGCACAGAGTTGCCAGAGATGCCACCGCAAGTTGCCAAAACTCCCACACACCAGCGACTGGTTTCACCGCGAGGTAAGCCGCACGTATCAAAACTGGTTCTCCATGGTCGGACCAGCCCATGGAAACCCACATCTTGTGGAAACAATGCACCAGCCTGTCCTACAGCTGCCGAAGCTGACAAACTTGGCCAATGAAAGCCTGCCAGTCGCGAGGCATCCGGTAACCACAAGTTGGGTGTCAGTGCTCTTGGCTGTGAAGGACGCCAAACTCTGAAGGTAAAAACACAAAACGACCGCTTAGCGGCGCGAGGTGTTGGGCTGCGAAAACTTGCGGCCCCTCTATGGCTCATCTGCCGGATTGCTCTCTGACGGAATGTAAATCAGCCTAAGAAGGAGGTCGCAAGACAGCACATGTGCACCGATAGACCTGAGGACACCACGGAACCCTGGTGCCGAGGTTCGCCCCTTTGCTGCGGCACCCAAGACAGCTTTCGCGTCCACCAACACGACCACTTTCTTGTGATGCTTCGCACGGGTGCGGCACGACCATTTGATGGTCAGCAGGAGAGCATGCCCTTCCAAGACTCCGGAGTGTGCTGCCCAGCGTGCTCTGCTGGATATGACGGTTCGAAAATCAGACTTCCGGTAGCGCAGGCGATGAGGCAAACCTAGGCGACAAGGTCCCGAAGAGTGCTCGCAGCTGTGCAGCCGCACATAGTCTCCCCGGCGCTCTGCCAATCGGCTTAGCTCTTGAAGTTCCTGTTTGGTGCTGCTCACCGCCGACACGCCGAAGCCAAACTCAGGAGCAGCATCACACGCCAGAAGCTCTTGGTGAAAGCCCCGGTCCAAGCTGACGGACAGGAGAGGTAGCAAGCTCGTGGCCACTGCTATCTCACGCAGCACATTGCACGGAACAGGTTGTCTTATGTTGGGCTCTCGCCGAACGAACTCGTATATCTGGTCAAAAACTCCAAACATCGGCCTTTGCAGGAGGCTGAACCACTGAAGCAAACCCAACAAACAATTCACTGCCCCTGGTGAGGCCCACTTCGTCCGTAGCAGATCTAAGCAACTCGCCAGGCACTTCAGAAGCTTGGCTTGTGAGGGTTCTGCCATGTGGGGGCGACTGCTGACATCACAGCCCAAAACAGTGATTTGTTCGACCAAGCTGATGTCCTTGCTCTCCTTTCGCGGAATGCCTGCAGCAGCGAGTGCACCATCGAAGCGCTGCAACGTGGACGTCCCATCAGCACGCGACTGGTGAATGAAAACGGTGTCGTCTGTAGCCACCAAGCATAACTCGGACTGGTCGCTCGGAGGCTTGTGACAAACGGACAACACGCATTCCTCTCGAACGCCTGCAGCTGCAACGCACGCTAACGTAGTGCCTTGCGCGATTGCTGAGGACCAACTGAAACCCATTGGCCAAACCACATGCACCGGGAAGACGAACTCGTTGTCACTTAACTGAACACCTGCTGCGTCGTCCGTGAGCTCACTCAACGCGGCAAGGTCCATGCCCGTCTCTCTGAGCCAGTCTCCTACCAACAGCGGCGGCTGGGCGAAGAAGTCTTGCAGGTCGGACGGAAGCCTGAGCGTGTCGAAGAAAGTCTCCGCATCACGCTTGGAGTAGTAGAGCGGCTTCCCTGTCTCTGCATGTTTTGTCCAGCAGCGATGAAGGGTTTGCAAGCCTGTGTGGCGGCGGCGGTCTGGCGGCCAGTGCCGACAGCTGCGCACCATTCCAGATCTTGCGTTGTCTGCCTTCCGTGGCTTTAGCCGCAGCAAAAACTGAGGCCAAACCACGCACATGCCGGCGTAGCCTCAGCTTCCCACATGCCATCTCCCTGGCCACGAGGATGAGGTACTGTCTGTAGTCAAGCTCATTCGCTGGCACGAGTGGCTGAACCCGTGGCTAAGGCTCTGGAAAAATCGCTGAAGAATCGCTGACGGCACTAACCAAGTCCTTTGGAATATGCCGCAATGGGTCGCACGTGGCAGCTTGCAACGGCAAGTCGACAGCATCTCCTCTCAAAGGCCCATATTGGGAGGACGATGCCGACTCAAAGTGCTGAAAAGCGCCCTGCCAGACCCAGTTGTCGCCTGCCACTGCTTGCAAGCGGGTTAACATGTGGGCCACTTTCACTGCCACATGATTCTGGGCTTCAAGTTGGCATACCGTTGGGCCGTTTCGCCAAGGTACCGTTAATCTATGCGTCTTGAAATCTGCCCACATGGCATTGAGCCCCACGATGCACAGATTCACCACTTTCAAAGCGGCACGCTGCATGTCCGAGATGAACTCCACGGTCGACGGCCAAGTCTGGATTTCCGGCAGCGGGAAGATTTCTCGCATGCGCTCAGTGGCTGGCGAGCTCCAGTTCACAACAAAACACGACAGAAGACCGCTATCCCCGAAGAGCAGCACGTCAACGGCGCTTGCAAAACCAGCAGCCACAGTGGCCGCAGTCACCCCAAGCAGCCCCCGCCATTGGCGCTGCCTGCGGGCATCCCGCTCCACTTTTGACGGTGAAGGCTTCTTGCCTCTCGCCTGACTTTGCCGCATCGGTGAGGCGCCGCTATCAGCAAACCTGGGGGTGGCGCAACAGACAGAAACATGTTTCGCCAGAGCGCGGTGACCGGGCGCTAGGCCAAAAGATCCATGCTTGCTGCAACTACACAAACTACACCACCCAGCGCTGGTAAACTGGCTTTTCAGCCTAAAAGGCTCCGGGCACCATGCCTTCTGTCGAAGCACAGCTGCGCAGTCGCTCGGCCTTCCTCCCTGACTTATGACGACTGGAAAGTCAGACGTCGGCACGTTGCAACAACAATATCGCTTAAACCAGAAAGCTGCCAGTTGAAGCCCTCAAGCCTGAAGCTCCCAAGCACCAGACCACTGAGGCGGGCACGGGAAGGCCACAAAGATGTAGGTGTCCATCCAGGTGCTCGAGCGTCTGGCAAAGACCGCAAAGGCATGGACCAAGCACCTGGATAGGACCGTCCAGGGTTTAGGGTTTAGGGTTTAAGGTTTAGGGTTTAGGCCTACTATTTAGGCATTCTCGAAAAAGGATAAAGTGCTTTCACCGGCGACTGTAGAAAACACCTCTTCTTTCCCATGCCAAGAAAACCCCATACCCTAAGCCCAAACCCCTCTAAAACTCCTTTGAAGGAGGGATTTCTGTACCATTTCTGATAGCCCCAGCTCTGAGGCTTGTGCATGCTGGCATTCAGTAGGTTTCGTAGCTCGAGGGCATATGGGGCCTTTCTTGGGATATGGAAACCCCATACTTGCAGGTCATACTAAACCCTAAACACTAAACCCTAAACCCTAGACCCTAAACCCTAGACCCTAGACCCTAAACCCTAAACCCTAAACCCTAAACCCTAAACCCTAAACCATAACCTCATAACCTAGGGTTCGGGGCTGATGGGCTTTAGAGAGGAGGCACCAGCCCATGGCTGCAGAGGATGTGCCGCGGATGAACTCGAAGTTCGTGGGCATGAAGGTTCCTTCTTCGTCGACTTCAAGAGCCCCAAACACGTTTAGGGTTTAGGGTCTGGGGTTTAGGGTTTAGGGTTTAGGGTCTAGGGTTTTAGGACTTAGGGTTTAGGGTTTAGAGTTTAGGGTTTAGGGTTTAGGCTTGGGTTCTACACATTAGCCCATTGAAGGAACTTCAAAGGTATCCAAGATCGGGACAGAGGTTCTCTTCATGTACCGCTCGGCGCAGGAGACGACCGTCACCACAAGGAGAAAGCCGATACTCCAGAGACCCATCCACAGGACCAGCCAGGTGTCTTCGGGCTTTACCTCTCTTCTTCAACAACCGGGCCCAAAAAGGGGTCCCAGACTTTCTATATAAGGTTGAACCCATGGGCCCCTAGTATGGCCCCTTAACCCTGCAACCCTAATATACCTACTATATACCCTATATATACCCTCAAAGGACCCTAGAATCCCCTAAGGCCCATGTTAGGGGGCCATGGGTTCAACCTTAGATTCTAAGAGAGACCAAGAAATATGAGGGCAAAAAGGTTCAAAGGTTCTCCCGTTGGCGATCTAAGTTACCACAAGTCCCTCAATGGGGTTCAGGCTGCCCGTGTGGAAGTAGAGGACGAGCTGGAGTATCAGGAATCCCATGACCAGGCTAACACCATCAAGGGAAGCTTCATGGGCGGCGTGATCCCAGTGGCAGAACCTCCGCACCCTCTGGGGCCCCTCCGGCGGGAGCTTTCCAGCCACGGGATCCCGATTCCGAAGATCACCCCCAGGGCCCAGATCAGCTCCCGGCCTCTTGGAACCTGCGCTCTTCGGGTTTAGGGTTTAGGGTTTAGGGTTTTGGGTTTCGGGTCTAGGGTTTCGGGTTTAGGTGGGAAGGATGGCTTGTGACTACTCCGCTCTTTTTCTCACTGCGGCAAACAGAACCTCGCCTCTCTAAACAGCCTGTCTAGCCATAATAAGTACCTAGACTTGGGGTTTAGGGTTTAGGGGGTTCCTTATGATAAAGCTCCTTACAACACCCCAGGAAGGAAGACATGACCTGCTACAACCCTTGCAGAACCCCGTCGACAACTATGTCAAGAATCCCTTTGTAACACGAATCACGAAATCGCAAAGAAGACTATATACTATCCCTATACAGACGGTGGGGAAAGCCCCTCATAAAGCTCTGTAAAAGGGTAGTTTTCAAAACTAGGGTCCCTTTTAGGGTCCTTTTCATAAGGGTGCCGCACTGTATTGGGGACCCAAAAAGGGACCCTAATTTTGAGAACTACCCAAATAGAAAGCCCTGGGACAGAAGCTTCTGAGACTGCTCCATGAGGTCAACTCGTTCTCCTGGACTCGCATCAAGCAGCTTGCTTTTGGGTTGTGGGTTTTGGGCGTTCTGATTCTTGGGTTTGGGGTCCCTAAACCCTAAACCCTAAACCCTAAACCCTAGAGGGTTTCCTGCTTCCCTGTTGAGGCTATATTGAAAACGGTCATTGTGTTCATCCTTACTGGCTTTTATCATGACAAGATGTAGGGGACTGGTATCCAACAAGGACCCAGTTTGGGGTTCAGCCCTGACATGAACCTAGCCTCTGGCCTCTGCCTCCTCCTGCTCAGGAGAGGACTCCGTGATGTCCCAGTACTCCGAGATGCAAAACTCGGCAATCTCGGGCTGCTCAAAGTGGATCGTGGAGTCGTCGTGGGGCCCTTCGGGCACCTTCAGTGGGCGTTTAGGGGGGGGCTTTGGGGGGTGCTTTTGAGCGATGGAGGCGCGCACCGCCTCAGGTGAGGGCTTTTAGAGTTCGTAGGGCGTTGGGATGCTTTTGGGGCTTTTGCTGTTGGGCTGTGCCCTTCACCCGAGGCACAAGAGGACTATAGACATGGGCGTCTGACGTCATATGGACCTTGTACTGCCGCTCCAGCATTCCGCTGTACGCTTCACCGAAGTTGTGATACTCACCTTCGTGATCCTCTTTCTGCCACCTGAAGGGTGTAACTTGCGACACCTACTGCGGTTTCGGGTTTAGGGTTGGTGACTGCACTTGACTCTCCTGAAGAAGATTGGTGAGTCTAAACTGGCGGGAAGGTTAGAACATCTTTCCAGAGGGAACCCTGCTTCACAAGAGCTTGCTACAGGTATTGAGTAGCGGTAGCGTGAACTTCCAAATCCTGAAGCCTGGCAGCACGCTAAGATACCTCCATAATCCTAAACCCTAAACCCTGATTTCGCAAGACTCATACCTGACATCCACCTCCTGGATGCATCGGGAGCGTGCCAGCTTCGCAAGAAGGAGCGCGGCTCGAAGGACCATCTGAGAGGCTTCTAAATCTGAGGGAATCCAAAACCCTAAACCCTAAACCCCTGTTTGAAGCCGCTGAGGATTTCAGTTTGAGGCATGGGGTGGGCTATCTAAGGCCTTCTTCCAGATTCGGGTTCCAGGCGGGGCTTTCTTCTGCAACCTTTCATAAAGTTCATGGTGGGTTTAGGGTTTAGGGTTTAGGGTTTAAGTGGGGTCTCCTGTTTGTGGAAACCGCCACAGTTGTGGGAATTCTGGGACCTTGGGGAACTCTAGGGCACAGTGGAAGAAGGGCTTCTCTGGGCACGGAGGGATGCTTCAGAGACATAATGAGGCTGTAGGGCTTGGGGTTCAGAGCTTGGGGCGCAACAAAGCCTGAACCCGACAAAACACTGGGTTCAGATACGAAACTAAAACCCCGCAGGGAGACAGGAAAGGATGCCTAAAGCCACAATATCCGCGTTTGGCTTAAGGCTTAAGGCTTTAAGGTTGAGGTTGCTATCTAGACCTTGGTTTAGGTGCTCGCGTGCGAAAGCTGTCTTGCTTCCTGTTTAGAGGTGCTCTGAACTGTCATTCATGCACTGATGCACTGCGGTGCATGCGCTGTAGAGCGGGCGAGCAGGCGGGTGGGCGGGTGACGTGTGAGAGCGAGTGCGTGATCGCGTGCATGGATGGTTGACCTTGTGGAACAATGAGGTTGAAGCTTGGACGAAAAGCCTTCCATGGCAGCGGAAGTGTCAACAAACCGACCAGAAACAGCTCAGCCTTCCAGAAGGCACGGGAAGGTGCCAAAAGGCAGACCGAAGCCGCGACTGCTCGAAGCGCCCCTAAAGGCCTAAAATGCAGCTCAGCCACCGCAGCCCACGGCAGCACCAGGTAGCACTTCAAGCTGGATTCTTTCATGCTCTGCTGCAGAGACCCAAAAGCTCGAATCAGGAGAAAGGCCGTGATATGCCCGGAGAGCTGAGCCACGGCGAAGGACCAGTGCTTCATGTCAGCATGGAGGAGCTTCTTGGTCCAGCCGCCACAGCGCTCTTCTTCCGCTTCCATCCACCGCTTGCACCAGGAGTTCGGGGAGTCCCGGCACCAGTAGACGAGGCAGCTAGAGAAGACGTAGAACCCCACACTCAGAAACCCGTAGATGCGCGCCTGAACCAGAGGCCCTTAAGGGTTTTAGGGCTTTAGGGTTTAGGGTTTAGGGTTTAGGGTTTAGGGTTTTAGATGCGCGCCTGAACCAGCGGCCCGGCGCTCCGGTTCAGCCCGGGGCTCTTGCCCATCCACAGCTGCTCAATCAAGACGCCATGCAGCGCGATGCTGAAGGTGGAGGCGGCGAAGATGGACACGGTCGTACAGCTCAACTGCTTCTCTGCTGCCTTCACTAGGGTTCCTTTAAAGGGATCCTTAAAGGGTTCCATAAGGAATCTTTGATAGGGTTATATTGGGGGCCTTCACTGGATCGGACTGCGAGTTCACCATGCAGAGAAGCCCCATCATGGTGAGCACGAAGGAGATCATCACCTTAGTGGCTGAGTACCCTAGCCCAAAAAAGGTTTAGGGTTTAGGGTTTTAGGGTTTAGGGTTTAGTAGGATTATAAGAGCCCCAAAAAGTTAAAGGTTACCTACTCAGCCACTAAGTCACCAGGCAAAGCATCCACTCAGGTCCGTTGATGCCCTGCCCATGCTCGATCTCACTCAAGTGCTCCTCCTGGCGGCCACAAACACAAGCAGATCAATGGAAGCAGCAGCACCAACGAGAACAAACCCAAAAAGGCAACGGCAAAACCCAAGGAAAAGGAAAGACTATATCGTCGTCGTTATCCGCCCTAGGCCCCGCACTGCGGAAAATTTACCCCGCCAAAAAAAAAACGAAACCCTAAAAACACCAAAACCCCATAGACCACCCAAAAACCCTAAACCCTAAACCCTATCCCTCGGCCTTCGTTTTCGCCTGCTGGTCCAAGGTGTCCCGATGGCCGAGCCTGATGGCTGAGCCTGCCTCGACAGATTGTACAAGAGATGCCGAGGGCAATCGACTCGCCGGGTTGAGAAAGACAAAGCCTTCAAGGCGATGCCAGCTCTATCCCAGGGAGGGTGAAAAGAAAAAGGGTGGGCTCCTGAAAAGCTTCGGAGCGGTGGACGACGCTGCTTCACTTCAGCATGGGATAGTGCCATCCCTCGGCCTTCGTTTTCGCCTGCTGGTCCAAGGTGTCCCGATGGCCGAGCCTGATGGCTGAGCCTGCCTCGACAGATTGTACAAGAGATGCCGAGGGCAATCGACTCGCCGGGTTGAGAAAGACAAAGCCTTCAAGGCGATGCCAGCTCTATCCGTCTCTTCAATACTGCGAAGCACCACCAGTGAATCCAGGCTGCACAGGCGGCGGCGGCAATGCCGAAAGAACAGCGTCACAAGCCCTGTCAAAAGCCGAGATGCGGGAGCGAGACTCCGGAGGTAGCTCGCTGAGGAGCATCTGGCCTGCCACTTCTTGCAGGTAGTACTCCAAGGTCTTTGACCGGGCCCAGCGGCCACGCCAAGCTAACAGCTGCAAGTTTTCACTCTGCTGGTAGAAGTGCGTGGCACCAGATCCCCGCAAAACTCCAGGTGTCGCGCCACGGAGAGCAGCGCGGCAAGGAATGCCAAGCCGTTCCATGATCATGTCCCAGAGCCGCCGGAACGTGTGCATGGATGCAGGAAACAACTTCTCGTCCGGACCCAGATGTCCGAAAGTGCGCTGGATAACGGAGATCGCAGATACATCATCGATTTTACCATGCTGTCGTCTAGCAAAACGGGCAGTTTTGGGATTCTTAAGGTAGACGAACAAAGCCGAAACATGATGAAAACTATCTGCAGGAAAGACCAAGTCTCGACGAGTCAGCGCCAACATCTCTGCAGGATGCAGCATTGCTAGGAAGCCGATGAGCACTACCCCGGTCCAGTCGTACCATCCCCACAGCGTAGCCAAGCAAAGAGCGGCGCGAACTGCAGCAGCAGGTAGCACAGCACGGCACTCGCCGGGCTCAGCGAGCTGCCACTTTCTGTCGACTTGCCAGGCGCCAGCGAGGTGGTTTCGGAAAGAGGGGCAGCGGTTCTGCACCGCGGTCAGAGCGTAAACCAGGAGGTACCTCGGGAAGCCCTCGGAGTACAAGTACAGGCCAAAACCTCGCAAAGCTAGCTCGGCGGCAACGTTGTCCTGAAGCACACAATCAAGCGAGAGACCGGCTTGATCGAGAAGCCAGCTTTCGAAGGAGTCCAGGGCTTTGCGCATCTTGTGGGCAGTGCTCTGCGCGAAACCCGCCTCAGGATCCAAAAAGCCTCGACGGACTCTAGGTCGGCAAGGGACCGGTCCAGGATTGCGTTCAATGTCCCCAGCCAGAAGCAGTAAGAAGCGAAGCCACCGCGCGGGCAGCTTCTTCAGTCGGCAGCTGTCAGCAACAGCGTCAAAACGCCACGACGAACCTGACTGCAAGGAAGAAAGCCACAAAGGTTCAGTCAGAGTGGGAGCTTGTACGGGCTTGTCGCGTGAAGGGTCGTCGGCTCTGTTGTCGCCAGAGTAGCAGTGAAGCAAACCCGGGTAGAGCCCTGAACCAAGGACATACCCCAGACAACCCTGAAGAACCCTGCTGATGGCGAAGCTGCTGGAGCGGCCTTTCGCCGCCGCGCCGATGGTGACGCGCGAGTCCAGCAAGGCAGCGACTCTGCAATCGGAGACTTCCTTCGAAAGAGATTTCAACCAAGACTTGAGGACACGGGCCTCGTTGACGTTGATGTGACCGGGGAGCTTAAACTTATACCTAAACTTTTCCCGAAACCGTAGGGCTCGGCACAATTCGCTGATCCACTCCGGGTCTTCGTGCCAATCGCGAAAGGGGTAGGGCTTTAAGGTCGGTTCGAAACAGGGGTCGAAAACCAGACCTAAACCCAAACGGTCGGAAGTTTGCTGTTGAGCTGCGGCTGGCAAACAGCTTGGTCCGCCTCGGCGAGCTGAAACAGATCCAGCTGCCAGCTGCCGGACGAAAGGCAGAGGGTACAAGCTAGCCAGGGCTTCCAGGCGATCGCCGACGACCGGTTCGAAACCGTAGACTGCCAGTGCAGAGGGCCGGCACCGGACAAGAAAATCCTCGCGTGATGCAACTGTGAGCAGCTCGGTTTCCAGAGGAAAATGGCAATCGAATCCCGCGCAAGAACAGCTACAGGCCAGAGGCAGAAGCCACGGCTTGTTGTGCAGCATTGTCGTGGCTCCCTCGAACGGCGCGCCGAAGGCGCACTGGCAAAACGAAGTCAGCACGCAGCCTGCACGGGCTAGTGTCTTGAAGCACTCCAAGCTGAACAAGGCAGAACAAAAGCTTTGTTCAACAGAGACAAACTGCCCACTGCGCACGGCCACATTTAGGAGGGCGCCAATGCGCCGTGCAACTGCAACCCTTTCTCTTGGAAAAAGACCTACCGGCTGGACCCCCGAAGTACAACCCTTAAAAGGTCCGGTAGAAGCCGGCAGGTCTCTGCAAAGCGCCTTTGGGACGCGAACGTGCCACTCCTTGATGACCCGCCGCGCCGCAAGAGACATCAGCTCCCGTGCGACTCTGGCATTGCAAACGTCACTAAAGCGAACTAAACGGCCCTCGACTTTAAGCTCGGCAAACACCTTTAGCCCCAGTTTGGAATGAGCAGCTGTCCAAGAAGACGGCTCTTCTGAAAGCTCAAAAACGTCGTACAGGAAACCCTCAACAAGACCCCTAAACCTAGGGAAGGGCCTCGGGGGAGCAGAAGGCAACGCTCCTAAAGAACCTTCCTGGCCGAAGAGGTGAGCCCCCTCGTGGTCTAGACCGTGCTCGAGAAGAACGGCAGAGGCGGGCCCAGCAAGTTTGGTGTAGTAGCCTCGCTGTTCAGACCTACGCCAAAACTCTGAGGCAGCAAATGAACCAACTCGTGCCGAACAGATGGCCCCAGCCCAAGGGCTGGCGTCTAAACAAAAGAGCTCCGGATGGTAACTTGACCGAAGGCTCGCCTGAGCAAGACCGCCTAGGAACGACAAAAGAAACAGCTCATTACGGGCCTGACGCGAGAGCTCGAAAACTTGGTGTCGAGGCAGCCCCTTCCCCTCATGAAAAAGAGCGTCAACGATGCAAAAGATGGGCCTCCGGAAGAGCAGCACGTGAACCCAACATCCCAGCAGAGTGTCGAGAACTTCAGCCGAAACGGTGCCCCTAGAAGCAACGAAAGCACTGATGAACCCTAGGCAGTGGACGCGCTCCCTAGGCGCAGAAACCACCCCTAAGACACCGTCGACCTCAGCGCCTAAAACCACTCCAGAAGTACAAGCTATCTTATCCTTCTTGGCATTGCGATGCAAGTTGACATCTTCGTAAGCCGAACTTGCGAGTTCGAAGACTTGAGAGTCACGAGCAGGAGCGTGAGAGCGCAGAGCATCCCAACTGAGCTTCTGAAAGGAAATGTGATCGTCAATTGCCAGGGCCTCGATATGATCGGTCCGGGGGACTGGAGAACGATAGCGCAAGACTTCACCCTCAATCATACTACCACACCTTTGCCTGAGAAGACCCTCGTGAGAGGCCTGAGCGACTTCAACTGCTAGGCTATCGCCCATTGCTAAGGTGTTCAATCCTATTCCTAAGGGCTCCTCAAGGGCGGGCGAATACGCCGAGAGATCACGGAGTTCGGCACTGCTGAACCGAGCTTTAAGACGGTTACGAAGTGAACGAGCATGTGAGACCTTGAAAGAATGATAAAAATCCGAAAGATCGGCAGCATGAAAACGGAGCGCCTGATCCGGGCGCAAAGACAAGGATCCTAGCAACCACCCAGGGCTAAGACGTTTCGATGCCTCACTCAAGGAAAACATACGGGAATTGACCACGACCGGATTGATAATTAGACGGTCCCATTCTGAATCTTTCGGCACTGCGAAGAGTCCTACTTCTTCAGCAGGGTCCAGTTGGGCCAGCTCTGCAGAACCGAAGATTTTCAACGCACCGTGAGCGTCAAGGGCTCGCGCGAGGGCAAGCAGTTCGGCTCGATCGCAGTGGACCAGAGCCGGTCGCAAAGAGGGCCAAGCTCCGCTCGGCCGCCTAAGGTCTTCGGGATTCTCGTAGGCTGCCAAAAGAACCTCGTTCCCCAGATAGGGTCGGGGGTCAAACGACGGAGCATGCTTCCATTTGATCCGCGATGACACAACCTTTAGGGCACCAAGCGAACCAAGCTAAACACTAAACCCTAAGCGTGAGGGAACAGGAGGATCTTCGGGCACGGCGTTCTTACGGCGAGAGGCCTCCGGCGCAACTCGCGAAGCAGAGTCTGTAGCTGTCGTCTCAGCGCTCGCCTGGAAAGGAGATTCGCGCACTGACGGGCCGTAGTCAAAACCCTGCTTAAGTGCACAAACTAATTCACCGAGGTAGGGGTCCACATCCTCGACACGAGGCAGTTCCTTAGCCACCCTCAGTAATGCATGAAACTTCGGCCCGCAGCGGCCCAGCGCCTCTGCTGCGAAAGGCTTGCAACTCAAGAAACGGTCGACAAGAGTTTCCAAGTGATTGATCACGCGGTCTTGGTTTAGGGAGATAGGCGATCCTAGCCTACAGTTGTCGGGGGCTACAGGAGGGTGTCCTAAGGTCTCCCAGTTCAGTGAGCACACAATCACTTGCAGCAGGCGGGCGCGGCAACAAAAGTAGCGGCGCCGGCGCCGAGACTTCGCACTACGGACTTGGCCTGACCAACGCCACCTTGGAGGAGGGATCGGCCAAAGGGAGCTGCTAAATGAAGCAGCTTGCACGGTGCAGGCGGGTTCCTTTAAGGAACTCTTTATAAAACAACTTAAACCAGAGTAACCCGAGAGACAGAGTTCAAGGGACCCTAAAACTAATTCTATGGGATGCAGTGGGGTTGTGCAGGCCGGCTCAAAATCAAAAGCGGGCGGAAAGTGAGCATCTGAAGCACCGCTTGCCGGACGCCCCTCGCGCTTCACAGTCCGCTCCGCTGCAGGTTGGGCCTCCGGCCTCACCCCTAGCTTTCCGGAGAAGCCTTCGCCTTCGGGCGTCTGCGCTTCCAACCTGGCGTCGGGGCGGCAGGCACATCCTCGGTCGCGCCTGCGTCCTTGTCCGGACTGGGTCTGGCCCGGTTCAATGCGGTCATGCGCGATTCCAAATAATCCAAATCTTTGAGATAAGCCACATTGGCAGCTGCCCACGCTGGGTGGCTCAAACCCGAGAACGGCTTGAGGCTCGATCGCCGATTCGTGGCCCAAAGCGCCGCTGGCGGGTCTGGGTAGCCTGACATCAGCCAGGCTAGCTGGAGTCGGCCCGCATCCAGTGAAGCTTGTTCTGCAAAAATCGCCAGTCGAGCCGCATAGCCCTGGAGTTCGGCGTTCTGACTCCGGGCGCCGGCCTCCCAGCCTTCCGCCGCGAAGCTGGCCACGTAGCCCAGCAGACGATGACCTGCGAGGGGCAGGCGTCGCTCGATGTACAGCTTGAGGAGGTTCGGTTCCTCGCGATTTGCATCCAGACCGAGCTCCCTCAAGGCGTTGGCCCGGACGATCTCCGCAACTCGAGGAAGATCTTGCACTTGACAAAGAAAGGCATCTCGAGCTAAGCAGCCTTTGATGCCTCCTCCGCTGCTGTCGTTTGCGCTGCCCGAGCCGGTTGCCCCCAGAGCTGCGGTCACATCGTCCACTGGCTTGGGAGGGCTCAGCTTCTCCAACAACATCTTGTTCTGCGCCAACTGGGCCGCAAGAATCTGATGCAAAGGATCCGTAAGCTGAGACCCTAGGTCTGCAAAAGGGTCTGCAGCTCCCATATCTGGCAGGGCCTCGAGCTCGGCCTCCCGAAAAGTTCCAGTTCCCACAGGAGTGGGTGCCGCTGAGGTCTTTGGCCGTGCTCCTAGCCCAGGTGGCTTGCGTGGCGCCGGTCCTGCAAGGGACTGCAGGCGACCCAAGGCGTCGTTGTCCAGAGCAGTCGCAGGAGTCCTTAGCAACG